GTTTCCCACATATAGATCCACTCACATAGACACACACACATACTGTCACGTAACAACACGCCCACACACGGTTAATGACTCGAAGAACACACAAGGGTCCACATGGGAATTAAGTTTTCTTTCATGCACTAACATTCACGGATACAAGGTCTGATGGGGGAGTTTTTAAAGAGGGGTAATCTGCGCCAAGCTGGGTTTTTCTTAGAGATTAAAGAACTTTTCATCATTTTCAATGGGGAGGGGATAAAAGTAAACTAAAATGCAGTTATAAGTTTAGACGAAACTAAAACTTAATCTGCTATGATGTAGAAATGGTTTTAAAATTCATTTATTTAATCCATGAATTGAGTGTTACAATGTGTAAAAAAGGGTTGAATGTTTTCTAAGTATTTACAGGTTCCTTGAATGAGATTATATTAGTTGCAGTGATTTTGAGCTTATATGAACAAAAAATGATGAGCTGAAACATCCATAGGATGTTCAGGCTGAATACATACTGGTATAAATAACTTTCAACTGCCAGGCATTGAAAGGTAGGTTACGTTTAATGTTTAATGTTTTTGGGGATTTTTTAAAAAAAATTTTCAATAGACACTAAAATAATCTGCTGAAAAAACACAGAGTCCATGGATAATTAATTTAAATGTAGTCAATTTAATGGGGATTTAAGGGATAAAGGGAAGGTAATTGTGGATAAGAATATCTGGTCGTGACTGCATGGAGAACAAAGGAGCTGTGGAGGCCAGACGAGACTCTGATTGATTAATTAGATTGATGTGTGATAGAGACACTGAAAGAATTCATCATCATCAGTGATATTCATCATTTGTTTTTAACTTGGACCAGGATAATTCTTTATTTAACCTAATTGTGATGTATATGTTTTGATTTATTTTGATTTTGTTTTGATGAAAATCATGGAAACATTTTGCTCCAGACCCACCAATATCACGTCGTATGGCCACTTTTTCTTTGATGTAGGAAGACTCTGAACCTTACAGGTTCTTTAAGTAGTTGGTAATGGTAATTATCAGATTCAAAACAGGGTTTTCTTGCTCAGATTGGCCGAGAGTGGGATTTCCCCGGGGTCACCCCGGTTTTTACTACTTTTAGAGAGGGTAGCGTTTTCCGGTGGAGAACGGCCCAACCTGTCCTGTGACGTCCCCTACTGTGACTGAATGATTGGTAAAGTTGGATAGATGGTTTATCCATGAGGAGCGGTCACATTTAGGAGGCCTCCAGGTGGGAGTGAGAGTAGATGAATTTGGCCTTATTAGATTTATAGGCTTAGGTTATCTAGTCTAAGGTAACTTAAAATAATGTGCGCATAGGAAACTAAAACAGCTTTCCTTTAATTAGATGAAACCCAAATTGTAGTTAAATGCTGAAACTGTGGTCTTGAGTGAGAACATTTGGTCTGTGAAGCTTTGATTGTGATTACTTTTGATCCCTAATTAATGATACTTGACTAATTATAGATGCTCTCTGAGTCACCAGGTCCTTCAGAGATGTGTCGCTTCCTGTGTTTTTAAGTTACCTGTAAAAACGGTAACTTATCAGGGGGAGTTGTTAGGTTTTATTATTTATACATCATGTGCACTGTTATTTTGTTAGATTAGACAGAGCAGAAGGCCTTCCTTCACATTGTGGATGTCACGGTGTGTACGGAGGTCATCTAATCAGGACAGCCTTCGTGTCTTTAAGAATACACAGGATATGGGCACATCTTGGAGCCAGACTGATAGGAGAGCTACTGTATCTGTAACCCTGAGACAGAGAGGCAACCTGCATGGAGTTCAAGACATGGATGGCGTGTCAGTTTCTGATACGGACAGCTAAGCATCCACATGATGCTACACAGACTCAGAAGGTATAAGAAGTAGAAGTTCGGGGCTCAAACTTTGCCGGACGCTTGCAGATGTGATTTTTGAACCACAGCTGTGCAGCTCTAAGCATTTTTCTCTGTCCTGTAACGACCTGATCTGGAATAAACTCTGTTACTTTTTTACTCCTGTTTTTATATGGTTTTACCCAGTTTGAGTTAAGAGTAGTAAATAACTTGCTCCCAGGAAAAGAACCGATGAGGAGGCCCCCGGGGCGCTACAGCCTTTACTTCCAATGGGACAAATCCTCCTCACTTTAACAACAGCAATCTGTGAACAGCTAGTTTATTAAGTATTTCATCTGCAAAGTCTCTCTTCCTCTGTGGAGGACACCTGTCATACCAGCTATATGAAACTCAATTTAATTAATAATAAAGTTTATTCATCAAAATTACAATAAACAGTTGAACTACCGGTACATCCCTCTCTTTTTCACATGAATGACTAAACTTTATTAACCCCCTGTATGATAAAAATGGATACTTATCCTAGGACGAAACGTACAAGACAATTTAACCCAGTCTCATGGGAAAATGTACCCCCACTACGTTGGTCCACACTGCAAAACGTAGTGGAGGTACATTAATGGCCATTTTTTTGTGGTACTGTTACGTTTCTTCTGCCTATACGCTTTCTATTGTTTTACGTCCTAGTCACGTGACTTTCAAGATTCCAGCTGGGAGAAGAAAAAAATATATATAGATGGCCGACATTCGCTAATTTTTGTGTGGAAAGATTAATAACTTGAGTTTGTTTAGGCAGAAGAAACGTAACAGTGCCACAAAAAAATGGCCATTAATGTACCTCCACTACGTTTTGCAGTGTGGACCAACGTAGTGGGGGTACATTTTCCCATGAGACTGGGTTGACACACTTCCCTAATGAGCCATTGCCTGCCTATCGTCTGTTTTTCTTTGCAAGCTGTTTTTACAGTTAAGGTCAATACAGCCTTAATGTCTTGTACTAACTGGATACATCAAATGCTAATGAGCCATTGCCTGCCTATCGTCTGTTTTTCTTTGCAAGCTGTTTTTACAGTTAAGGTCAATACAGCCTTAATGTCTTGTACTAACTGGATACATCAAATGCTAATGTTGTTTTCAGCTTCACTTTAGCTGCAGATGAGATGTTTTTTTGCCCCTATAAATTTGTAAAGGAGGTTGGGTCACATTGTCCTCATTATCGTACTAAAAGCTGCTCCCTTAAGGACACTTTAAGACTTGCAAAATCTGTATTTCTTCTTGCAGCTTAAAAAAAAAGCCCAAGATTAAACTGTTTTTACACATAAAATACAATTTTGGATTAAAAGAGATGAGTAATTTTAATTGTAATAATGGCAGAGACTTTAATCTTGAAACCTCCACAACTTTGTGGCATGGACTGTTCAATCTTGAGTTGTTTTTCATGCTCAATCCATTTGTGGAGGATGTTTGCTCACTTCAAAATGTGTTTTTCCATCTAAAAGTGCCTCTCTTGCATAAAAAGCCCAAGATTAAACTATTTTTACACGTTAAATAACAAAATCTTACAACTGCTGCTCTGATGGATTTGCATGAAAATTTTAAATCTTGATTTTTATTTTGCCCCATTCAATAAATGGAGCGCTGATCATTCAGCATAACTATGTTAAAATGGGGGATTTCAATAGGTGGGAGATCTGCATCTGGTTCTCCAGTAACTTAAGCTTCATGTTTTCAAATCTCAGATCATCTTTGTGCTATCGGTACAATCAGCGTGCAATCTAGAATCTGTTGCAGTATCTTGAAAGTAGCAAATCTTGAAAACAGCAAATGCAGCCAAGTTAAAAAAAAAATATTTCAAGCTTGTGGAACCAATGGTATAAAAAAAACATCAGTGAAGCCAGCCAGATATTTATGTTCTACAGGACGACCTCTGTTCAATAAACTTAACTATATTTGTAAATATTTCTATATTTAAAATATTTAAATATTGTGAGATATTTCTTTAAAGTTATTTTTTGGAAGTGACAACGCTAGCTCTGGTTGCATGTCTATTAAAAAAATAAAAAGGGTCATAGGACCCTTTAACAAGCACTTCTTTCCTGTGGGACTGCAAATGGTTTATTTTCTGTGATGCACAAGGAACCCTCCGGCTTTTTCCAGATGGGTTCTGTACACATCTTTTCATTTTAAGGCTGGACTTTATTTGTCCGGCTGTGTGGGCAGCTGAAACCTTTAAATATTTTTTTATCTAACTCTGCTTTTAGAAAAACGTTCCATAGATTTAAAACTACTATGATCAGAAAAAAAGAGACTTGGCTGTAACGTTTCTCAGTTACATGACTTGAAATATTAATGTTGTTTACCAATAGAGAACAGGTAAAGCAGTTCTGATTTTTTTAAATTCATTTTTTGTCTTCCATTTTGGAGATAGTATGCATACAGTCACAGAACACATTTAAAAAAATTACAGCTGATGTTCTCTTAAGTTCTCTTTTTTTTTAGGTCTGAATCCCTCCAAAGAAATTTCAGTAATGTTAACTGTTAAAAGGAATAAAATGGATAAATGTTTTATATTTAAATGTTTTAAAAACTAAGCGGCGCGTGTATGACGTCATATCCGCACGGCGAATCAATTCCGGTGGCAACTTCACCGACACGAGGCCACAAAGTTCGTTCCTCTTGTTGAGAGGTAAGCCAACACTCATAACATGAAGGCGAATAACTGACCCCCGGACATCCGCCGTTATATTTTTTATCTAAATGTTTTAAAAACAAAGTGGCGCGGGTATGCCGTCGTCCCGGCTGCAACTTCACCGACACGAGGCAGCAAAGTTACCTTCTGTGGTTTATTGTGGTAACCTGTGCTAAGATAAAAATCCCCAGCTGTTTATTGTGTGCTTATACACTCTATCAGGTTTGGAGATTGGTGATGAGTTTATTTCTATGCTGAGGTTCGGTTGTTATTTTTCATAATCCATGACGTCGATCTTTAGTTCCTTTGGGCAACGACTGAAAGCACAAACTGAACTGTTCATAATGTATCATTTATGGTACGCCAGCATTCATAACATGTAGCTGAATCACTGCCCCAGACATCCGCGTTTATATATTTTTAATTTATATGTTTGAAAAACAAAGCCGGCGCGCGCGCGCCGGTTACCATTCATTCATCCTGTCCTCTGATCTGCTGCTGGGTCTTTTCCACAGGAGAGCAGCAGCAGCTCAGCAGGAGCCAGAGCTCCCAGGTCCAGCTTCCTCAGCAGATGAGAGCCATCAGCACTATCGGTAATATCCTCCTGTTCTATTGGGAAATAGATCACTAGATGTGCACCAACAGTATTTAGTGCATTTTTAGTGCTGATACATGTTTTTATTTTGCATAATCTGACTTCATGTGAACTGCCTTCAGTAAAATTATAATTATGGTCCAATGGCAGCACCTCCAGGAGCTTCTGGGCCGCTGGAAGAGCGTCAGGAACTACCTCATCCTGACGCTCCCTAAAATGAATGAGACAAGGCTAATGAAGGTTAGCCCACCCCTGCTTCCCTCCAAACTTCAACTGTCTAACTATATGAACCTTTCTTCATTTAGCATCTTTTCACTCAACTAATCATTGTGTGCAGCAGTCTCCGCCCCCTGCTCCAGCTGGTCAGTGCCCTGAGCTGGAGGACTGTGGCCTGGAGACCACTGCGGTCAAGAGAGGCTGCATTTCCACCAAGGCCGCTCAGGTAAAACTTGCCCCTTTCAAAGGAGCCTGATCTAAATTCTAAACAGGGTGGATTGCTCATAAAACATTTCAGTGTTTGTTTTTTGGTTGTTAAGTGGAGTTCTGTGTTTGTTGTGTGTTCATTTTACAGGTCAGCTGTGCCACCGGTGGGTGGGGTCACATTTGTAGATGGAGTTAATACCTATAACTGTGGTCGATGACCTGTACATGGCCCATGCAGCCATGTACAAGTCATCAGGTCCCAGCAGTGGGTGGGGAACCTGTGTGGATGGAGTTAATACCTATAACTGTGGTCGATGACCTGTACATGACCCATGCAGCCATGTACAGGTCATCAGGTCCCAGCGGTGGGTGGGGAACCTGTGTGGATGGAGTTAATACCTATAACTGTGGTCGATGACCTGTACATGACCCATGCAGCCATGTACAGGTCATCAGGTCCCAGCGGTGGGTGGGGAACCTGTGTGGATGGAGTTAACATCTACATCTGTGGTTGATGACCTGTACATGGCCTATGCAGCCATGTACAGGTCATCAGGTCCCAGCAGTGGGTGGGGAACCTGTGTGGATGGAGTTAATACCTATAACTGTGGTCGATGACCTGTACATGGCCCATGCAGCCATGTACAGGTCATCAGGTCCCAGCAGTGGGTGGGGAACCTGTGTGGATGGAGTTAATACCTATAACTGTGGTCGATGACCTGTACATGACCCGTGCAGCCATGTACAGGTCATCAGGTCCCACCGGTGGGTGGGGTCACATTTGTAGATGGAGTTAATACCTATAACTGTGGTCGATGACCTGTACATGGCCCATGCAGCCATGTACAAGTCATCAGGTCCCAGCAGTGGGTGGGGAACCTGTGTGGATGGAGTTAATACCTATAACTGTGGTCGATGACCTGTACATGACCCATGCAGCCATGTACAGGTCATCAGGTCCCAGCGGTGGGTGGGGAACCTGTCTGGATGGAGTTAACATCTACATCTGTGGTTGATGAACTGTACCTGGCCTATGCAGCCATGTACAGGTCATCAGGTCCCAGCAGTGGGTGGGGAACCTGTGTGGATGGAGTTAATACCTATAACTGTGGTCGATGACCTGTACATGACCCGTGCAGCCATGTACAGGTCATCAGGTCCCACCGGTGGGTGGGGTCACATTTGTAGATGGAGTTAATACCTATAACTGTGGTCGATGACCTGTACATGGCCCATGCAGCCATGTACAAGTCATCAGGTCCCAGCAGTGGGTGGGGAACCTGTGTGGATGGAGTTAATACCTATAACTGTGGTCGATGACCTGTACATGACCCATGCAGCCATGTACAGGTCATCAGGTCCCAGCAGTGGGTGGGGAACCTGTGTGGATGGAGTTAATACCTATAACTGTGGTCGATGACCTGTACATGGCCTATGCAGCCATGGGTGGGTGGGGAACCTGTGTGGATGGAGTTAATACCTATAACTGTGGTTGATGACCTGTACATGGCCCATGCAGCCATGTACAGGTCATCAGGTCCCAGCGGTGGGTGGGGAACCTGTGTGGATGGAGTTAACATCTACATCTGTGGTTGATGACCTGTACCTGGCCTATGCAGCCATGTACAGGTCATCAGGTCCCAGCGGTGGGTGGGGAACCTGTGTGGATGGAGTTAACATCTACATCTGTGGTTGATGACCTGTACATGGCCTATGCAGCCATGTACAGGTCATCAGGTCCCAGCAGTGGGTGGGGAACCTGTGTGGATGGAGTTAATACCTATAACTGTGGTCGATGACCTGTACATGGCCTATGCAGCCATGGGTGGGTGGGGAACCTGTGTGGATGGAGTTAACATCTACATCTGTGGTTGATGACCTGTACATGGCCTATGCAGCCATGTACAAGTCATCAGGTCCCAGCAGTGGGTGGGGAACCTGTGTGGATGGAGTTAATACCTATAACTGTGGTCGATGACCTGTACATGACCCATGCAGCCATGTACAGGTCATCAGGTCCCAGCGGTGGGTGGGGAACCTGTGTGGATGGAGTTAACATCTACATCTGTGGTTGATGACCTGTACATGGCCTATGCAGCCATGTACAGGTCATCAGGTCCCAGCAGTGGGTGGGGAACCTGTGTGGATGGAGTTAATACCTATAACTGTGGTCGATGACCTGTACATGACCCATGCAGCCATGTACAGGTCATCAGGTCCCAGCGGTGGGTGGGGAACCTGTGTGGATGGAGTTAACATCTACATCTGTGGTTGATGACCTGTACATGGCCTATGCAGCCATGTACAGGTCATCAGGTCCCAGCAGTGGGTGGGGAACCTGTGTGGATGGAGTTAATACCTATAACTGTGGTCGATGACCTGTACATGGCCTATGCAGCCATGGGTGGGTGGGGAACCTGTGTGGATGGAGTTAATACCTATAACTGTGGTCGATGACCTGTACATGGCCCATGCAGCCATGTACAGGTCATCAGGTCCCAGCGGTGGGTGGGGAACCTGTGTGGATGGAGTTAACATCTACATCTGTGGTTGATGACCTGTACCTGGCCTATGCAGCCATGTACAGGTCATCAGGTCCCAGCGGTGGGTGGGGAACCTGTGTGGATGGAGTTAACATCTACATCTGTGGTTGATGACCTGTACATGGCCTATGCAGCCATGTACAGGTCATCAGGTCCCAGCAGTGGGTGGGGAACCTGTGTGGATGGAGTTAATACCTATAACTGTGGTCGATGACCTGTACATGGCCTATGCAGCCATGGGTGGGTGGGGAACCTGTGTGGATGGAGTTAATACCTATAACTGTGGTCGATGACCTGTACATGGCCTATGCAGCCATGTACAGGTCATCAGGTCCCAGCAGTGGGTGGGGAACCTGTGTGGATGGAGTTAATACCTATAACTGTGGTCGATGACCTGTACATGGCCCATGCAGCCATGTACAGGTCATCAGGTCCCAGCGGTGGGTGGGGAACCTGTGTGGATGGAGTTAATACCTATAACTGTGGTTGATGACCTGTACATGGCCCATGCAGCCATGTGCAGGTCATCAGGTCCCAGCGGTGGGTGGGGAACCTGTGTGGATGGAGTTAATACCTATAACTGTGGTTGATGACCTGTACATGGCCTATGCAGCCATGTACAGGTCATCAGGTCCCAGCAGTGGGTGGGGAACCTGTGTGGATGGAGTTAATACCTATAACTGTGGTTGATGACCTGTACATGGCCTATGCAGCCATGGGTGGGTGGGGAACCTGTGTGGATGGAGTTAATACCTATAACTGTGGTCGATGACCTGTACATGGCCTATGCAGCCATGTACAGGTCATCAGGTCCCAGCAGTGGGTGGGGAACCTGTGTGGATGGAGTTAATACCTATAACTGTGGTCGATGACCTGTACATGGCCTATGCAGCCATGGGTGGGTGGGGAACCTGTGTGGATGGAGTTAATACCTATAACTGTGGTCGATGACCTGTACATGGCCTATGCAGCCATGTACAGGTCATCAGGTCCCAGCAGTGGGTGGGGAACCTGTGTGGATGGAGTTAATACCTATAACTGTGGTCGATGACCTGTACATGGCCCATGCAGCCATGTACAGGTCATCAGGTCCCAGCGGTGGGTGGGGAACCTGTGTGGATGGAGTTAATACCTATAACTGTGGTTGATGACCTGTACATGGCCTATGCAGCCATGTACAGGTCATCAGGTCCCAGCAGTGGGTGGGGAACCTGTGTGGATGGAGTTAATACCTATAACTGTGGTTGATGACCTGTACATGGCCCATGCAGCCATGTGCAGGTCATCAGGTCCCAGCGGTGGGTGGGGAACCTGTGTGGATGGAGTTAACATCTACATCTGGGGTCTCATCATGGCCTGTATAGGTCATGATAGCCAGAATGGAACCATCCTCCTGAGTGTAAGTACTTCATTAGTTTCATTTTTTGTTGTTTATTTTATCATTGTTTTTTTGGTGTGACCAAATCCCAGATAAATGGTGGAACAGAATTAATGTTAAGGTTATTCTGATATTAGTGTGTGTTTCCAGTCTGCCCCAGGCCAGGTGCAGAGCCAGGAGGTGGAGGATGCCGGGAACACCGCTTCCTCCTCCCACCAACCCCACCCCCCAGCTCCCCACCTGTACTAACCCCCACCTGCATCTCCCTCCTCCTCCCCTCCCACTGCCCAAAAACCTGCCCCTGTGTCTGCAGTCTCCACCTACACGTAGGCGGAGCCTGAGCAAAAGGGACAACAGCACATCTTACCCCCCCTCCCTTGGTAAGTGCAGCTGCTTCTTTGACACTGTAGGATGTCACCAAGTGGACCCCCTGTTCTGTCTTTGCTGGGTCTAGAACCAGCATGTCTGATTACAGGCATGTCTGAAGACATAAAAACCTGGATGACTCTGAACTTTCTGCTTCTGAATGCAGACAAAACAGAAGTTATAGTCTTTGGACCAGAGTCTTTGAAAAAGAAGCTGATTAGTCAGTCACTTCTTTTGGATGGGATTAAACTGATTTCAGATAATAAAGTAAAAAATCTTGGTGTTATTTTTGATCAGGACCTGTCATTTAAATCCCAGATCAAAGTGGTTTCTAGGATTTCCTTCTTTCATCTGAGGAATATTGCAGAAATGAGCAATCTCCTGTCCAGGGGTGATGCTGAGAAACTAGTCCATGCATTTGTTACTTCAAGGCTGCACTATTGTAATTCTTTACTTTCCAGTGTGGTCCTGTTTCTCTGACTGTGACTAACTGGATGTGCTCTCTTCATCCTCTGACATGGGAGCTGCCTTGGAGCTCGTCTGCCTGGCTGTGTGTTTCCTGAACGGGGCCGCCTTTTACAGCTGCTTTTTTTCTCTCTGCTTCTTTCTCCTTGAACCCCAATCGGCCTCAGTAGATGGCCACTCACAGATGCCCATTTGCTGTGTCGAGGGAAGTTCCAGGAAGTTCAGGAGGCCCTAGAGTTCTACGGAGAGGTCCGGACCGGTGACAAGAAGGTCAGTTAATCCGTAACAGCTGCTGGATGTGTTAGAATGCAGTAGCTTTTGTGTTCTGGCTGAATTCTGGACCCATTTGTTCGGATCTGTGTTCAGGGTTTCACCTTTCCCAGCCAGCGCCGCTACGTCATTTACTACAACTTCCTGCTCAGGACCCGGCTGGATCCAAACCCGTGGCTCTGCTCTTCCACAGCCGCTATGTTCACAGGCGGGACCTGCAGTAAGTCCTATAATCAGAACCGGGCCACTTCTTTACAGTGAAGAGTTCCAGGTC